CTAGTCCCTTCTCCCCCACCCCTGGCAATGACCTGCTGGGGTATAGAAAAACATCAGGGTCCTGGACACACCACTTCAATAATGTCTCCTTCCAGCTGCTGAAAAAAATTAACCTTGTCCTGACCAAAACCAGAACAAGAGGAAAGAGTAGATGTACTGATGACTGTTTGTGAAGAAGAACATGCATAGTACAGGCACCAGTGGTGCAAATTTCATCATGAAACCTCACCAGTTCTTATGAACTCCAATTTGAAAAGGTTTTATTGAATGTTAAGCTTTTTGCTAAAAATATAAATGCTAATAATTACATAATTGTTAATGGAATGACCACTGGTTATGAGTATTAACCAACTAAGTAGTGCTGAATTTAAATTGTTTTCTAATTGCATGTTATTATCAGTTGCTTTATGACAACATGACAAAGTACTCGAGTAATGCGGTTCAGAGCTATTTGTAAAGGGGTGTTTTATTTAAATGAAAATAACAGCCATTTATGAACAAAAACGACGAAAAAATTCAATTAAAATAAGTAATCTCAGTATATTTCAAACAGTTGAAATATACTGAGATTACTTATTTTAATTGAATTTTTTCAATACTGTCTTCAGTATTTCCTACAGATAAGTCATTCCTGAAAATAGTAAAAATATTATGCTTTTATTCAGGCTTGCTTTCCTAAGCAGGCTAAAGGATAAGTTTTCAAATTACTTTTTAAAAACATAGGTGTCTTAAGTGAATATTTCAGAGCTGTCAGAATAGGTTTTGAACTTGATGCCCAAACTAACCTCAGTCCAACAGTAACATTTGTGATAGACAGTTTTTCAACGTCTTTCATAATTAATATTAATATAAAAATCTCCTGAACTTCAGAATCACTCAAATGACTGAGACCAGTTTCCAAGTTTTATATCAAAGAAGGTGCATTATAGCCAGGGAAATGTTCTGTCATTATTATATATTTTTAGAGGACAATTATAAGTGCAAAGAGCATACAGGTCTTTCATGGGCATCTCATATGTATTATTACAGGCATGAATTTCATGCCTTACATGCAACACAGTGTCTGAACACATGGGAAATCTCATGAGGTCAAAAATCTGCAGTGTTACTGGTTGCTTGCAAGTTTGATCTATCATTTAAAATCTGTGAAAAATCTTTTGGCAGCTAATTAGCATTCAGTATCTGGTTTAAATCAGCGAATAGCCAAGAAGTAATTTGATTTAAATGGATCCCTGTAAAATCAATGTTGACAATTAGAAAATACTTCTAAATAACAAACTATCGTGATAGAGCTCAATCCCATGAATGATGGCCAAATCTACAAAAATCCATAGGGAATGTGCTGATTGTATTGGTCGTTGAATAGAAGCATCAAGAAATTCCACTTCCAATTAAGTAGTTTATTTGTAGTAGCTTTTTTATTGTGGTACTGCTGACCTGATGCAAATAAGATGTTTTCATGGCCCATTTGAAACATGTAAGAATTTTCATTCTGAAACTCAATTGCCATTTTATCTGCACTATGGCTTGCCAGTGTTTCTTACTCTTAGTCACTGTGTGCTGCTTCCTTGTAAAATAGTTAACAGAGAAAAGATAACATTTACCAAAGTCATTGTGCATTCTGCAGGTTTCTTCCTTCTCCCAGCACAACTAACTTGTGTACATCCAGGTTCTAAGTCACCACTTCCTTCTTGGTGCCTGTTTAGAATGCTCCTACCCAGTTTCATGGTTATTCCACTTACAAATCACATTTCTCATCATAGAACTAAATACCTGTTGTTCTTGTTCTATGAATCTACCTTGGATCTTGGCTGACTTCACAACACAACTATCAGGTCTGCCTATCTAAGGCTTTCCTTTCAGCCCACTTTTCTAAAACATGCCAGACTTAGAAAAAGATTTCTTTCTGACTTCTCCAGACATGTCGGAGATTTATTTTCCTATGTGATTTTAGCTCGTGAACATACAAGTCCGTAATATGGAAAGTTGATTCTCCCAAAAGAAACAGTCCCAGGATCAGTTCTGAAAGAATTTCCACTGTAATTATGTAATAGTAGGACACTAAATCTCTTAAAAATCATGAAAAATTCTGTAAGGGAGAAAAACTTAATCCTTCTCAAAGCATTCAGTTGTCTAGGCAAGCACTGCCTATTTACTATGACCAGAGCAATTTTTGGCAGTATTAATAAATGCTCACAAACAACAGAACTGTTTTCTGTCAGGAAAAAATAATCCATGCAGGGAACAATGCTGTGCTGGGAGATGTCCCCTGTGGAATTTCTGAAGGGCTGAAAACAATCACAAAACTCACAGGCTTTTTGCTGAAATGCATAATGGATTTTGACCTCACCTCATTAAACAGCAGTACATAATACATTATGTATAAAACACTCAACTCACTAAGTAAACATTTTACAACAGAGTAAAAATGGAACAGAGAAGAAGAGGAATTAGAAAAATCCTATCTTGTTGTGAAATTACATGCTTTGGAAATCATTCTGGTGGAAATGTCTACGACATATAGGCATACACGTATGAGGAAGTCATCACTGGCTCTCCTTCTTTCTCTTTTGATGGAGAGAAGTTAAGCAGTCCATTCGATATCTAAAATTCACATCTAACATGAGTCAGATAACTAATTCCCAGCAGGGAGACCTATCTCCATTGACCATAAAGGGAGTCCAGGTTGACTGGCTCAGATATTCAGGGCTAAATTGTTCATATCTGATGTTGTGAGATGAATTCCAACCTCAGAGACCACTGTAATGAGGCTGCATAAGACCGTGAAAATGTTATAGTTAATTAACTCTTCTGCAAATCGTCTCTACTGCAAAATTTACCTTGCAGGCGTAGGGAACAACAGCGCAAGAACAGGCAAAGCAGTCTGCCTAGTGAAGGGGGCGTAGAAGAGATGCAAACAAATTCATGTGTGAGTACTCACCACACAGAAACCAGCAGCACCCCAACCACTCACCCGTGTCCAGCAGGACAAGGAGGGATGCCTTCTCCCCTTTCCTTCTTCCCCACCACGCCCTGCGCATGGCAGGGAGCTCTACAGGATAACCTCAGAGTCCTAGCCATGCCTATCCTGCCTACTGCAAATGTTAACCATGTCCCAGCCAGAACAAGGACATAGTTGGACTACTCATGGGCAAGAACTGCACAGCTTATTTCTCAAAGTTTGCCTCTGGTTGTTACCAGATAAGAGTTACTGCATCCTGTTCTGTAAGTTATGTGTTGAGAAGAAATTTGCGTGGAAGTAAGGGTGAAGGTTTGTCTAATCATCTTATGGAACCCGTTGTATGTATAAATGTCCCAATATCTTATGGCAGCACATGGTAACAGAGATTTCAGATAAGGGGCAACCTCTGTATGGTTTACTATACAATAATTAGGTAGAAAACAGAAAAGAGGTAGTGTTAACTTATATTTAAACAGCATTCTATAATGAGTACTATGTGCTTGAGTAATACACAGAACTAAAATACATAATCTGATATTTTTAAACATAGTTCATCTGTTAAATATTAAGAAACATCTTGTAAATCTTGTAAATGTTTTGCACTAAGATTAAGCCAATTTATTTCAGAACCTATAATTCCTCAGTAATAAACTGCTATACTGTTTTCAACAATGAAAATATTTATATACACAGTATGAGCAACTGAGACTGATAGCAGAAAAAAAAATAATATTTTACCATAATGTCTGTAAGCAAAATTACATTATGAACTGCCAATTATTTGGTCTTATTTTTGAATATAAATAAACAAGAAATTAATTTCTTTTGGTGGAAGTGCAGAAATAAGATGACTGCTGCATATATTCAAGGGGCTAATGCATAGGCTTCTATTCAATTGTAAACTTATATGGCATTCTCTGTCTTGCTAGGAAGCTAAAGGAACAAAAGATGACATCTTTCTAAAGATAAGGGTTAGAACTGAGAGCCACAAGCATGTTACAGACAGAGGATGGCTCTGCAGGAAACTTGAACAGAGGCAGGGGTGTCTTTTGATCATGTTTTGAAAGCTGTGTGAGCAGAGCATGGTGATCTCATTGATAGAAGGAAATTCAGAATTGAGAGTAGACCTTGTGTGAAACCTTTCTGAAGGCACTCTCATTTGGGAGCACTATATTATAGGAAAGTAGACCAGTTTTTGGATGTAAGATGCCTGTGGACATAGCTGGCTCATGGGAAGGGCTTGACTTTGCAATACCTATTTTGTTTCTGACATCCATGATTGGGTTAGAGTTTTTTTGCTCAGTGTAGAGTTTTCATTCTCAGAATGAGTTTTCATTCTTTTGGCCAAAATTGTAAACTTTAATGAAGGGTTTGAATTGTTGGTGGTCTCTGTGCTGTAAATGTGGAAGTTAGTGAATATTCTCATGTTTGAAGGAAATGCAAGCTTGTAAGATTCCTTTAAATTCAAACAATGCTTCTTTAAGAACTAAGGTATAAAGTGAAACAATGCTTCTTTTAGAACTATAGTATAAAGTGAAGTTGTTTAAACCCAGTAGGCAGTGCTTTTAATGTTGATATATCTTTAAATATGAATATCTGATTAATTGAGAAATCATTATTTCCTGTACATCATAAAGAATAATTTAATTTCTTTATATACATACTCTGAACCCTAATATGTATTGGCATTCCAACTGATACGTACTTGTGAGCTGTAGATTATGATACGATCCCATGAAATATTTTATCATGAGAGAATTAGGCAAATGGGAGGAAAGTTTTGCCATTCTTTATAGGATGAAATAAATTTAGGCCTCCTGGAAACAGCAGTTAATGCAGTTCATATATTAAAACATTACGTTGAGTGTATCAAAAACTAAGATGTAAGTTGAAAAGAGCAGAATAAAAATGCTTTCCAGGTAAAACTTCATAAAGTTTCTAGTTCCTAGCTATTATATTTTCCTTGAAATTTTATATAAATATTGTCACTTAAATTAAGCAACTAAGCAGTTCCCTTTCTTTTTTTTTCTTTACATAGCAGATGGTACGTGAACAATACATGACAACAACACCAGGCACGAGCCTAGAGAGGCCGAAGAATGAATATGTCTACAAAATTGGAATTTATGGCTGGAGAAAGCGTTGTCTCTACCTGTTTGTTCTCCTCCTGCTTATCATCCTAGTTGTGAATTTTTCGTTGACAATTTGGATTCTTAAAGTGATGTGGTTTTCCCCAGTAAGTGTCCTCTTTAATTTTCCATTCTTGACTTCTCTTCCCTGCCTTACCCCTTCACTTATTTTGTATGTAAACCAGCTTCTCTGTAGGTAATGGATGGTTCTTTTTTCTTTCTTCTCAACTGTGATTTGCACTTTGGCTGAAAGTATGTTAGAAAAATCTATCTTTGAATGTACTTCCTCATATATAATTTCTGTATTAGTAATAATTTTTGAAATACTGAGGTTGTTGATGCTTTAGATTGCAGTGAATTCTAGCCATTCTATGAGAATGCATTTTGCTCTTGTCTCATAATCTCTGTTTAGTTGATAGTTTATAAATGTGTTTGTCGTAATTTTATCTCATACAGAATCCCTTAGTTAAAATATTGCTGACAGCTGCTGTGGTTTTTAGCTTATTTCTCCTATTTATCAGCATCTAAAATTTAACAATTTATTTGCCCAATTAATTACAGCTTGGAGGCAATTATCACTACTTCATGCTTGAGGCCCAGCAGCTACATAATTCAGAAATGAATTTAATAACTTTCCACTGTCATATATATATTTTAATATTTATAATGGAATTTTGCATGTAGTAAATTAAAATGTAAGTTTCAGAAGTCTGCAAGATGCAGCTTTAGTCAGGATGTAATAAAATGCATCAGTGAATATTGAAGCTAAGCTAATTTGCTCCTAACATGCAGTTGTGAGACACAGATGATTTGAATAGACTTGTTACAAGAAGAACCATAATAATAAATTTCTACAGCTCTGCCCTGGCTACTGAAGAAAGTTTCTGTTATCTATTGTTATTGCACCTCTGTCATTAAGGGAAGACCGCTTTATCTTAACATAAATATTTCTATGCTCACTAAAAAGAAAAGTATGTTAATTTTCAGTCCTACTTACTAATACAGTTTTTAGTGCTTGAAGTCCTGTGAAGGGTCTTCCCCTACATTAATTCTTTACAGCACTGTTACTGCCATGCAGATTAGAGTGCAAAACATCTTAGATCACAGATAATTTTTCTCTTATGCAGCTCACATGGAAGATATGCTTTTAGTGCCTGCCTGTCATAAATCACAGAGAACATGAAAAACTTATAATTGTTTTCTGTGTGGCTCAGGGTTCTGTTTTTACAGAGCTTTAAAAAATATTTTTTGTTTATTTGATTTCTACATATGAGCTTGGGTATTTCTTCTCTGATACCAGTGAGGATTTAAAAAAATTAGAAAGTCTACTTATAGGAATGCCCATCTCCTTGTAGTTCCTGTGTGGAAGATACCAAATGCCTTGGTCTGCTGAGGGACAGTGTCCTTATGCTTTTGCAGGAAGAGCAGTGGAGTAACAGCTCTAGCAGTGCAGGTTTACATCCTTCCACAGAGTGAAAGGGCTGTGAATGCCACAATTACAAGGAATTTCCTAATTCTATGTTAAAGAATCTGTATGCCTGATGTGCCCAATTGGATAGTGACTTAACTGTAATGCCTTCATTAATGTGGAATAATTTTAGGGAAATACTGAAATTCAGATAAATATCAACTGTAAATACATTCGTGCAAAGTGCACAGGTATGTCACAATCCTCAGCAAAAGTGAATGTGATGTTGTTAAGAGGAGAGAACTTCTTTTACTGGGTGTTGTTTTAATAGACTACATCTCTCAAGACAAGAAGTAACTCTGAGGATACCAGAAATCTCACCCAGAGAAGCGCTGCTAGCCACTGAGTCTGAGAAGGATGTTTAGTGCACATTCAAAGTCTGGAAGCATATAACTGAAGCATCACAGTTCTTTCCTGTGTCAAAGGAAACACCAATTATGAAGAATTAGTGTAATGGTTATAAGAAATTACCAATACTATCGTAAAACCCTTTTCATGATGGAATTAAGCATTTATTTTTCCAAGTATTTTGTTGCTGTTTGAAAAGAGAAGTATCAGTATAGTGTCAGAATTAGATTTTTATGATTCGTGAGTTCCAAGCTTGACAAGTATTTGCTGTTTAGGAAATGAGTTGATTGATGTATATCACACTTATCCAATTAAGAATTCCCATGACTGGGAAGAGTTTAAAAGTAATTGTGAAATATTATCCTATATGCAATCATCAGTTATTTAGCAAATATTAATCTGTCAACTGTGATAACACTTACATTTATTAAATGTATTAAATGTATTCTAGGTATACTGTGTATATATATTAGATATACTGTGTATATCTAATACTGTGTAGTATACCTAGAATACATTTAGAGATTATAGGACTATGTTTAATATTCATAATAGATATTGTATTTATACAAGAAACAAGTTGTATTGTCACTAAGGCTGATAATCGTACTTAGAAAAAATGTTGCCAACTTTTTAAAATATATTTTTATAGTAGAGTCCTGAAGAGAGGGTATGCTGAAGGAAAAATTCAAGCATAATATGACTGCAGTATATAATTTTATAAGGAAAACAGATTTTCAATAATAGAGGTGTTGGTGCTTTAGTGATTGATTGACGTGATTCTATAGCACAGCCCTTTAATAAGCCCACTCAGAGCTGACAAACTGGTTATTTAGACATCAAAGTTTCCTTAGTTGTATAAAAAATGTTCTATTTTTCTATGAAGCATCCTTGACTCTTTCATTAAGTAATAACTTGCAGTATACAAAAATCACATGCTATGTCTATTCAGAGATCCAGATTAAAATAATAATGAAATTATGAACAGAGCTTAAGCATTGAATTAATCCATGCACACATGTCCTGCCTTAACCCCCATAAAACCAGACAGTGTGATAAATACCAGCAAAGAAGCTAAGCTGATAAAAGAGAACATGAACCAGACACAGATATGCTGCAAGATGAATAGAGTTTGATCTCCTTTTACAAATTTGGAATGATGAAAGGCAGAAACTTTTCTAAGCTCTATTGTTTGAGAGGCCTTTAGCATCAAATGTAGATGACTAAATGGAACAGAATTTCATTGTTTCATTTCATTTCACTTCATTTCATTTCATAAAAGCTAGACTAAAAGAGAACAACCTGAACAGAGAATATATCCCTTTTCTCATGCTGCCCAATTAAAAACATACAGGCATCTCCAAATTGTGCACATTAATTCAAAGGTATCAGCTGTGCCTCATTCATTTTTTTTTTCCTTTTCTCTCTTGCAGTTCAGAGGGACAGGGTCTCAAGTTTTTTGTGGGAATAAGCAAAGAAATTGGTGAATTCATTATATTCAGCTGTTTCAGAGAAGACAAATAATTATGACTTGAGTTTGGTGAATATGGTGAAATAGAGTAATTTTAAAAATACCATTATTTTTGCATGAAAATCAGTTTGAAAAAGGGTTGGGTTTTTTCCCCTGGACAACATATCACATTTCTCATGTAATGGAAATTTCAGATTCTGTTTTTAACATAATGAGGCTTTCTGAGCACTAAAAGGGACTGCTACTTTTAAGAGTTTAGAAAACTAAGAATCTTAAGGGGTTTAAGGCTGCAAGGATGTCAGAAGTCCTGTGGACAATTCTGAAGGATCTATTAGGTCTGAAAGAGAGGACCTTCCATGTCTCTGATATCTGCTGTAAGACAAGTGTGGCAGGATGGAAGCAGTGAAGATTTCTAGAGGGTGTCAGCAACAACTTCTGAAGAGGACAATTAAAGGTGGCGCACAGCTGGATCTGCTACTCACGGGATCCCATGGGAGCCAGATCTGAAGGGTAAAGTTACCCAGAAAAGCTTGATCAAGTTTAAGGACTGTATCCTCCAAATGTAGGATGGATCAGTCCTGATAGTTAGATAAATTTCCTGGCTTAGCTGGGCAGGTTACTTGTGATGGAGCTTCAGTGAAAAAGTAGTATAGAAGAGTTGGAAGTAGATAAAGGCTACAAAGAAGAAATTTCTAAATAATGTCTGGGCCAGGCTTTCTGTGTGAGAAACGCCAAAGCTCAGCTTCAGTTAAGAATTACAAAGGGCAAATGGCGACAAGATGATGTGCATCCATTGGTGCAGAGAGAACTGATTCTCTTGCAGAGTCACCCTCTACAGTGTTTGAAAGATATTGGAGACTCGGGAGATCCTTGGTGGCTGGAGGAATGCAAGTGTTGCACTTGTCTTTAGAAAAAGGAGAACATGGGTTTACCAAGAGTGAATGATGCCTGACCAATCTGATTGCCATTTTATGATAAAATGTCGAGAATTATAGATGATGGAAGGACACAAAATATCATTTACCTTGGCTTCAACAAGGCTTCTGACTTTCTCCCACAATATTCCTTACCCTAGTTAGGGTATTACAGCCATGAGGAGTGGACAAACAGATAAGTATAAAAAGTAAACTGCCTGGGTAGTTGGGCTCTGAAGGTAGATGCTAATGTGTTGTGGTCTGTATGGAGGGCAGCAATAACCATTGTAATTGTCTTGTCCTGGTTCTTCTCCTTTGCAAAAACTTAACGACTTGGAGGAGGTGACAGAATGCTTGCTCACTGAATTAGCAGGTTATATCAGTGTGGGGGTTCATTCAAAACTTCCAAGGCTCAGGCTGGAGGTCACACTAGCTCCAGGTCAGGATTGTCATGCTAGGTCTCTTGAACTCAGGTGTGAAAAATGCACCTGATCAGGTGATTACCATTCCTGATGCTCTAGCAAATCTTTTTCAGAAAGCCCTTATTAATTCAGTTATTGTATTATTTAGGTTTTGCCACATTATCATAACACCAGGAACAGTTGTATGCCAAAGATTATTTCTGAACTTTTTTGGCCTCTGATGGAGACACCCATGTTTTCCATGGATTTTAGTGGATACCCCAGCTATCGTGGTCTCCTGGAATAAGAAAGGAATTGCATTATATTTCATTTTGATAAGGACAGATAGTAATGCAACTGCAGTGTTTACCTGGACAACTTGTTGCCTTTCTTCAGTGTGGAGTTTTTTTTTTTGCTCTGACAAAAATTTTAAGAGCAGTATAAGAGAAGTAGACAGGTCTTTATAGCTTTAGATGCACTGCTAATCAAACATAGTTCAAATCTG